CAAACCATAAGAGACTCTTAATGATAGGAAACAAACTGAGGGTTGCTAGAGGAGAGTTGGGTGGGGGTAAGGGGTAACTAGGTGATGGGCATTAAGGAGGGCATTTGATGTAATGAGCACTGGGTGTTATATGCAATGGATGAATCACTAAATTCTACCCTGAAACTAATAATACAGTATATGCTAACTAAATTGAATTTAAAGAATTTTAAAAAAGAAAAAAGTGAACAAAATATTATTACATTTTCATATATAATTGATTCCTGGCCTTTAACATCCTAAAATGGTTTCTCCTATCTGTGTAACTGAAAATTTTTAATGTAAAAGTGGCTGCAATATCAAATTATTGCAATTATGTATATTGAGATCAAACAGTTCATTATTTCTTTCAAGGGCAAGAATGTAATATATTTTTGCCTCTGGGGAGGGGGGAGTATGATCATTTTCATAAGAGAAGGAAGGATTCAGTGCTTTCTTTGTTTGTGGGTTTCCTCTTGTTCACTTTTGATCTAGATATTGGTGGTTATGTTCCAGTCCTCCTGCATGTGCCCAAGAGGATTGGGAGTGGAGTGGACACCAGCAGAAGCACCATTTTTTCCTGTAGACATTAGAAACAAGGAGCTTATTGCCCTGCTTGTCAAGGCTCAGGACAGAGAGGAGGAAGAAACAAGTATAAAGGTTTTGGTTTTGGAAAGAAGTTGGAATCTCCTGACCGTGGGACCTTAAGATCCACAAAATTGCTGAAAGAAAAAGTACTACCTTATTGAAAGGTAAGACATTAAACTGTTTTAAGGTTTAAGCCGTTTTAGCCACAGTAGCATGTCTTCCTAAGCTGTGAAATCAAGCAGTCATTTCTGCTAAGCCAAAGTTTTTGTGAAATAATCACCCATCCAGCCTTCCTGGTGAGATAGAGACCTGTATTGCTCAAGGGATGTTTATAGTGAGGGAGAGCCTTTACAAAATTGTACTCATTTTTAAATTGACATTTACTGAATGCCAGGCACTGTGGTAGGCCTTGGATATACAGAGATTAATGTGTCAGTCACCCTACCTATCTTCCAGAAGTTCTCATTCAAGGAAAAGAAAAAACTGATATTTGCAATGTGATAAGTGCTATAATAAATAGGTCACATGTGTAATAAGAGTGGTCTAAATCTGAAGCAGTAATGTTTGTGTCCCAAAGGATTAATGGAAGCTCATGAGGTTGGAAGAAAGGGATGGGCATTTGAGGTAGAGAGAATTATATGTTTAAAGACATAGGTATGAAAGAGGGTGCTGTACTGGAAGAACACACCAAACTGCAGAAATTACTATCTGATGTTTGCTATGGGGCAGAAGGGGGGCAAGTGATGAGATGTTGCTAGGTGAGAGTGGACTAGTTATGGAGGTCTTGTTGCATGCTAAGGAAATTTTAACTTACTTATTAGCCATGGGGAAGCATTGAAGATGAAAAAAAATTGTGGGACTACCTGAGTTCCAAGATGGGTAGGAGAAAAAATAAGTATGATGGTTTTAAAAGAAGTATGTACCTGTAGCTCTCAACTGGGCCCAGTCTCTTGTCTTTCCTTTTTTGCTAATAGTCCTCGTATCCTTGTGTTCTTACTAGGTTGATTCTAAACTTTGTAGGTTACTGGAGAGTAGGATTTTGATTTAGACTATTGAGGACTAACTCTCCAATCTGTGTCAACCTTGAACACCTTCCAAAGTGTATTCATGTCTCAACCTAAAATAATTTTCTTCATTCTGGAGAGAAAGCTATAAACCCAAGAGTAAAGATTCTGGCTGATTAAATGCTGAAACAAGGAGGTGGCCAACCTTTCTTGTCTTTAAAAACAGGGTCATAAATTTATGGTGACCTCAAGGAAAAGAAAGTCATCCTAAGAGAAGTCAGACTTGATCCTGAAACCTGCAGGAATTAATTTGAGGACTTATTAAAGGGCCCTGGTTGCAGTAGAGAGGTCAGACACAAGGTACAGATTTTGGAGTGGCTGGTCGCTGGAGTATTAGTTGACTATCCTATTAGAGGAGCTCAAGACTCAATGAAGTAAGTCAAACATTTAGGGACCAGTGAGAAGATGGTGACCCTGGTGGAAGAGCTGGGTGAAATGTTTGAATAGGGATATCTGCATTCTATGGATTGTGACCTTCACTAAGATAAGGAAGGGTAGTTATTGGACCCATGACATTCAAATGGTAGATTTCAATGACACTCAAAGATCTTGCTGTATACTTTAACCAGGAGGAGTACAGTCAGGCTGGGCAAAGGGCTCTGTATAGGTAATGATGCTGGAGATCTGTCAGAATCTGATCTCAGTGTGGCAGTTAGTTTCAAAACCACATGTAATCTAGTTGGAGCAAGGAGAAGAATTGTATTTGAAGAAATACATTTCAAAAAGCATCTGCCAAGATTGAGAGGCTGAATTGAAAGTCAAAGATCTCAGGCCAAAAGCAGAACATTTCTATAAAATTAGTCCAAAAAACAGAAACTGGAGGGAGGATCGAAAAATTCTTAAAAGATGTCTTGAAGTACTCAAAATGAGATGCATCAAGAGTTGTAGGCCATAGTCTTCAGAGCTATCTGTGACCTATAAAGTTTCTGTATGTCCTATAAAGTTTTACCCTCTTTAGGTTAGAAGCTCTAAAGTATGATAATGGCTTATAGGAAGAAGAATAGATTGACAGTTGAGGTATGTGGGAGTTGACACAGAAAATCTTTTTTGACAGAAAGGAACATTCAAGGAGTGAATTTGAAAATGATTAACAGCCTGAGCTCAGCCCTCATATAACAGACAGGTCTCATACTGGCCCTCTAAATAGTGCTGTGGAATAGACTTTAAATATATTTACATTTAATTCTACTAGATACTAGTTTATCTAGTTTCAAATTCTAGTCAGAGGTAAAAAGTATTTTGAATGGGGGTACCTTGGTGGCTCAGTTGGTTAAGCATCTGCCTTCGGCTGTCATGATCTCAGGGTCCTGGGATCGAGCCCTGCATTGGGCTCTCTGCTCGGTGGGGAGCCTGCTTCTCCCTCTCCCTCTGCCTGCCGCTCCCCCTGCTTGTGCTCTCTCTCTCTGTCTCTCTAAAATAAATAAAACCTTAAAAAAAGTATCTTGAATGTACTGAACCTAAGAGAATTGTCATTCAGATTCAGAATTAAAAAAAATGTATTTAAAAAAATTTTTTTTTAATTTAAGATTTTATTTGAGAGAGAGTGGGAGAGAGAGCACAAGAGGGGGAGGGGCGGAGGGAGAAGCAGGCTCCCCACTGACCAGGGAGCCTGACGTGGGGCTCAATCCCAGGACTCTGGGATCATGACCTGAGTCCAAGGCAGACACTTAACTGACTGAGCCACCCAGGCACCCCCAAAATTATTTTTTTAAAAGATTATTTATTCATTTATTTATTTATGAGAGAAAGAAAGAAAGTACGTGCTCACAGGGAAAGGAGCAGAGGGAGAGGGACAAGCAGACTCCATGCTGAGTGCAGAGCCCAATGTGGGGCTTGATTTCAGGACCCTGAGATCATGACCTGACCTGAAACCAAGAGTCAGATGCTTAACTGACTGCACCACCCAGGCACCCCACAAATTCAGAATTCTTAATAGAAAGTATATGATTTTAATGGGTACAGAGGAGATTTTGTCATTAGCAAACTTATTTTAAGTCTAAGAAACTGCATGTTGGAGGATCAGGAGGTCCTGAATAGACCTGAGAGCCTCTGTCTTTGGTAGGAAAGCACTAGGTGTAGATTTTGAAATGCCTTTAGTTAAGTATTTGCAACTTTATGAGTGTTGAATAATTCATCCTAGAAAGACATCCTCTAGTTAAAGAATTTTTTTTTTAAATTTTCATAATGATTTGTATTGTACTCCCTTATAGAAAGTAAAGAATTTGTTGTGGTTTTACTCTTTAACATTTTTTGGGCATAAGACAAAATGAGGGTGCCTGGCTGGCTCAGTTGGTAAAGCATGCAACTCTTGATCTCTGGGTTGTGAGTTCAAGCCGCATATTGGGGGTAGAGTTTACTTAAAAAAAAAAAAAAAGACAAAATAGGTTTACTGTGTGATTAAAAAAAAAAGCAAATCATAACCCAGTGTAATAGTTCTTCAACCTATGTAGCTCAGTAAGAGATTAGCATTTATCCCTATTTGAAATTGATTAGAATTAAAGGTTTTAAGAAAATGTTTTATTTGTGAACATTCAGGGCAGCATTTCAGAATGCTCTGATTTTTTTCAACATGTTTGTATGATTAAGAAAGATGTATATGTTAACTTATTTATGAACTGGGCTGGGACAATATGTTATACTAGTATATGTATTATGTATTTGTAACGTTTTTGTATATCATTTGATATTCAAAACACTAAAATTAGTAAAGCAGATATTATCTCTGTTTTACAAATGAGGAAGAGTGAGACTCCGAGGCTGAAAATACCACGTGAAGTCACAGAGTTAAACTTTCAACATTACTGCATCAGGGTTTCTTTGAGATGAGCATAATTCAGTTTTATAGGCACAGACTGGCTTTGTCTCCTTTTTATTGTCTTAGTCATTGCTTTCAACAGACAGCTTTCTACACAAGCCCGGAAAATGATTGTGAATATCTGTAACAGGGATAAACATTTGTTCCTATCAACAGTTACTGAGAGAAGGTAGCAACATGTTCTGAGGTTACAAGAACACAACATCCTTATTACAACCATTAACACTGGCTAAAACGGCATAGTTAATCGTTATTAAAATGTTTTTCTTTTTCCAGGAGGACTAACAATACTTAAGAATTACTTTTATTATGCTTATACCTAATATTAAAGTTCTAGAAGCAAATTTATGTGTGCTTTTGAAGAGTGGTAGGAAATTTTTTGGTTTTGATAGTTTCATTTCTTTTGTTCAGATTAATCTTATATGGTTATAAAATTCTGTTTGACTTTAACAGATTATAAACTACAGCCATTTTCTGAAATATCCTATGAAATTGGGTATCTTGTTATTTTACAGGATGAAGAAACACGAAAAGATTATGACTACATGCTGGATCACCCAGAAGAGTACTATAGCCATTACTACCACTACTACAGCAGGCGCTTAGCCCCTAAAGTGGATGTTAGAGTTGTGATTTTGGTCAGTGTATGTGCTATTTCAGTGTTTCAGGTGTGTATTGATGGAGGAGTGTGTCTACATGTGCACGTTGCCTAGTGCTGGTCATTAAAACTGAATTAGAAGTACCTTTTTATAAAATTTTACCTGTACTTGAGACTGATTTTTTTAGAATAGAAAAATATTCATTTATTCAACCAATTGATTAACACTGGAATCTTTGTCAGTTGTAAATCCAAGCAATTGATGATAAATGTCATTATATAATAAGAAAACCCAACAACAGATCTTTTTCTCATTGTTCCCTTTAGAGTATTTCCCTCCTAACCTGATAATATTTTGTAGGACTTTTCAATGATTTCCCATTAAATTTGTGAAAAACCTGAGCTTCTTGATATGACCTGACAAGTCTTGGCACCTATCCACCATCACTGTAACGACCAAAAATGTCCCACGCATTTCCACTGTCTGCTAAGGGCAGTTTTGCTTTGATTGAAAACTACTGAAGTAGATTAAAAGAGTAGTAATCTTTCATGTTTTAAATGTCACACAAATTTAACTTCAGCTTGAAATGAGTTTTTCCTACTATTATTCTTAAACTAACCACAGCTATCTTGTCTTCTTTTAGAGGGAAAGAACATGTCAGGTGACTAGAATAAATCAATTTGCTAGTCTGAAAAATGCTTCTCTAGTTTAATTCCCAGAAATGAGATTTACTTTATATGACAAAAAGAATTACTTATTGAAAACTAAGGTTGTGGATTTTAAATGTATCTGCTTTTGCAGAAATATTTTCCTTCCAAAGGGGAAAGCAGGGATAATTTTACCTTTCTGTTTTAGATAATGTAATACCCTAGTAACATTCCCCCCCCAGTCCTAATAGAGTGCTGCTATAGTATTTCAAGATATTATTGGTGTAACTGCAATATTCATTCAGTAAAAGAGCAAATGTGTGGAAATGTGAATAGGACTTTTTCTGACAATTAACGAAAACGCTTTGTGTATATTTATGAAATAAGTTACGTGTTTTCCAGTCAGATAAGAGTTCAAACATATTAGAATCCTTTACTTCAGAATATGATGAGCATTACTGTGATAGATCGAGACGGTTTAGGGAAGAGATGGGAATGAATATAGTTGCCTGAGTCTATATCCTGTGATTTTTCTTTTTTTTAAACAGGTTCTTCACTGGCTAGTTTTGCCATGTAACTCTTCCCCCCAGAATGTAGGTCACAGTCTCACAGTCTTAAAAAAAAAGAGAGATTTCTTAATAGTGATCTAGGGAAAGCCAAATGGTAGATGTGAAATCACAGGTGTGGTGTGATTCTATTGATTTATCCCCTAATCTTGGGTATCTCCTGTCTGAATTAATGGCTTTTTGGCCTAGCTTAGGGCTTACCTGATTTATCCAGCCTCAGGTCCCATGTACGTGTGGGCATTATTCAATTTTATCTTTTATTTACAGAGAAAGATGATTGAGGTCCCTATTTTTTTTAATTAAGTAAGCTCTATGCTGAATATGGGGCTTAAATTCATGACCCCACTAAGCCAGCCAGGCACCCCTTGAGGTCCCTATTTTTAATCAGAATTGCTTTGGGTGGGGGGGGATGGTGTTCACCAAGGTGCATTTTGGTAGTAAAATGACCCATTTTTCTTTGTTAAATATTTCAGTTTTTCAGCTGGTGGAACAGCTACGACAAGGCAATCAGCTACCTAGCCACAGTGCCCAAATACCGTATCCAAGCCATGGAGATTGCCAAGCAGCAGGGGCTACTCAAAAAAGCCAAAGAGAAGGGCAGAAACAAAAAGTCCAAAGAGGAAATTCGTGACGAGGAGGAGAATATCATAAAAAACATTATAAAAAGTAAAATAGATATAAAGGGAGGCTATCAGAAACCCCAGATATGTGATCTTCTCCTGTTTCAAATTCTCTTAGCACCTTTTCACCTGTGCTCATATGTGGTCTGGTATTGTCGATGGATCTATAATTTTAACATCAAAGGCAAAGAATATGGGGAAGAAGAAAGACTATATATCATACGAAAATCCATGAAGATGTCGAAATCTCAGTTTGATAGTCTAGAAGATCATCAGAAAGAAACTTTTCTTAAACGAGAGCTCTGGATAAAGGAGAATTATGAGGTGAGTAATTATTTGCTGGGATTTTTGTGTCCTCTTACTTATCTAAGTTAAAATTTGGTGTAGGGGAAGGGATCACAGAAATGCACTCCAGTTTCTGAAATCCAAGATTTAAATAATGAATAAAGATCTTATTTTTATTGAAAGTGTGACCGTATTTGGTAGTGGGACAGTGGGTTTTTAACCTGTAATTTGTCTTAAAAGATGAACTTCAAATATTTTAACTGGCTCATGCTGAAAATCTTAAGAATGGTCTAATTTGTTATGTTAAACTGCAGTGGGATAATATGTATGTTTGCAAGGATGTTACAACAACTTTACGTTAATTGCTCTAATTAAAATTTGTTCTTCCCCAAATTTTCTTTCAGTCATGTAAACTTAGCTACAGGGATTAAAAAACAAAACAGGGAAGGAATAAGACATGGAAATTTTGTTGAAATAACTTCATTTCAAAATAGAGCACAGAATCTTCTGTATAACTAACTTATATATGAAAAGTTACTTTTATTTTTTAAAAAATGCCTCTAAACTTTGGGCAGTTTAATAAATGTTATATTCTGTAGTTGTCAGCTACACCAGTTACCTTGAGGTGATCATGTGCTTAGCTAAAGTCTTAGAGGAACTATTTATCTCATCATAATAATATTATTTTAGGTTTTGGGTAAAATTACTTGGCTAATGTATTAAAGATAAGAATAAAGCACAGTGATGGGGTACCTGGCTGACTCAGTCAGTAGAGCATGTGACTCTTGATCTTGCGGTCCTGAGTTCAAGCCTCACATCACGGTAGAGTTTATTTAAAAAACAAACAAAACAAAAAGAACACAGCACAGTAAAATCTTCCTAAGAAATCTGAATATATTTGTGTTTTTAGTTTCGTAGACATTCCTTTTTATATGTGGTATACTAAATATATTTTACTGAAAGTAGAGTTCCAGTCTGAATTATATTTAAGTAACTTACTATGAATTGCCAGATTGTTTTGGCAAGTAGATATAGTTGGCCTGCTTGTAAATAACATAAAAATGGAAGGTAACATACTATTTTGCTCCTAAAGTATTTGAAAAGTTTTCTCTTAAGTAGGGTAAGCAGTCCAGTTCACAAAACTGTATCTTTCATGGAGTACTACCCTGGGCTGAATTACCATGTTATTATATGAGGTGATCTTAGTCATTACTTCCTAAAATTTGGAAGTAAAGTCATTTCTTTCTAAAATTTGATGCAACTGGTTATGAAAATTTGTCCATTTAGTTTCAACTGACATCCACAAAAAGTTATAGAAACGAAGATTTTCTTTGTCCTTAACCTGCATGGTTTATTTGACCCTCTTTGGGAACCTTAATAAAATATTTTGAAAAACCAATAATTATCTTTAAATTTGGAGACAGTGGTATATATAAAGGTCATTTTATTCCTTGGTTAGGATCAACAAATACTGAAAGTCATCAGTTAAATTTTCAAAGGACCATATTAAATAGTGTGATTCTTTAAGATTGGACATTAGTTGTAGAGAGGAAATGTTTAAACTCTTTAAACTCAGCTGATGGATGATGTCAATGAGGAAAAGAATGTATTCTCAGGTTACAGAAATCAGTGACAAAAATTACTAAGTTCTTGTACAAGTTTTTTTTTTTTTTTTTAATTTAACACCAAGTGTTAAGGTGCTTAACTGCTTAGTATTTTTAGATGCATGGTCTACAGAAGACAAACCAGTACATTCATAGGAAACTTTTACCTAAAATGTAATTTGAAAAATGTAAATATGCGTAAAGGTAATGACAAATGTTTCCCTTTGGATGGTAAAGTAATTTAGTGTTATTTATACTTACAGGTTTATAAACAAGAACAAGAGGAAGAACTAAAGAAAAAATTGGCAAATGACCCCAGATGGAAGAGATACAGAAGATGGATGAAGAATGAAGGGCCTGGACGGTTAACGTTTGTGGATGATTGAGGATTGCTGAATGCTACTATGCTAAACCTTAATTGTGATATTTTCATAACTGAATTATTTTAGAAATGTATCAACTGCTCCTCAGCAGTACTTAAAACTCCTCAAATATGTGATTAAACAGAATAATGTAGAAATTTAAACTTCCCCTTAAAACTTTATACATAAGACATTTATGATTGTTCAATTTTTATAACCTATTTGTGGATTTTGTTAAATGATCTGAAGATTTACTTGTTGCCATTTAAGATTTTTATATGTTTAGTTAAAAGATTTGACATGAAAATTTATTAGATACCATTTAAAATTTTTACGTGTTAAGTGTTTATTCTTTACAAGTGCTTCCTTATTCTTGGTTATAGTGCTACATTGTTCCGCTTCCATGGCCTCTAATATTTTCACAAAACATAAAAAATTATAACAGCATTTAATTACATTGTGAGTGTCTTTAGACATGAACTTCTTCAGCAAAATGATTTCAACTGTCATGTCATCTTCATCACAGTCATTCTAGGATTGAAATATGTTCAAAATACCTCTCTAGGAGAGTCTTCTGCCAGAATATGCTGATACTATTTTTCCCCCTGTCATAATATTCTTAATAAGATCAGAAACTCTCCAAGAGAGTGAATCAACCTTCATGTCCTTGTAGGATGATCTTGATTACAGTCATTATAAGACTATAACTGTATTTTCAAACATTTTTTCCAGAAGACACCTTAAAAAGGTCTTTTGTACCATAGTATTGCTTTCCCAACCCCCTTCAGTTAAAAAAAAAAAAATGACAGAGCAGAAATAGCATACTGAAAAGTTGTTCATGTATTACGAAGTCCTTGAGCCATGGAAAATCCAGCGTACGTGAGTGTATTTACGTGCATTTAAACCAGAAAGAGGAGGTGCATGGCTGTGTGCTGTTCTTTCAAACAATGAAATATATGTTTTATACATGTGGAAGTGAAGTAATTCACACATAAATTGACTGAAGCAAGTATGATACTGCATCAAGGTATCGATACACAATCATGATAGTGAATCAGTACTCCTGTTAAAGGATTTATCTCATTGCTTCATATTAATAAAATGGTTGCAATATATCACAAGTTTGTTGGTATGGCATTTTGAATCAAGGATTAACATAATTGCTTTTGTATTATATAGTTTTAAAAGATTAGTGTAGATAATAGATATACAGAGTCTGTTTCTAGCTAAAAGAAAGTAGGGCTTTCTGGAGCTCAGCCCAAATATGTGATATATACAAAGAGGCAGGAGGGAGGAGTTTTGACCTTGTGAGTCATTTAGTCTGTGAGTGAGGGCCTCAGTTACCTTAATAGATAGAAAGTTGGGGGAGGACTTTAACTAGATTATCAGTAGGACCCCTTTGCTGTTCTAAAATTCTGAAATATATTTTTCTAAGGCACTTGCCCCTCTGTTAAAATTTCAAACTTCTGGTATTCTAAGTATTTTTTTGTTACACCTAGTAATAAGGAATAATAAAAGGACTGGGTATGTTAGCATTCATAAAGGTTGGCTGATACAAACAATGTGTGTTGGAAATTATTTTGCATATCTGCTAAATTATTGTATTTTTCCCTGGCTTTATTGAAACCTCATTTCTGGAATCACCCCCAGCAGCCTTCTCCCTTGGTAAAAGTTTGGTCATTCTTTTAGAATCAGGGTCATTGCATGGGTCAAGATAAATGGATTCTCCTTACAGAAGGACTATGATTTTTCTCTTTCCTTCCCTCAACAAAATATGCTTCAAAATCCTAGAGTGAAGGAAGAGCCATTAGTTGTGTCATTCAAGTACTATGAATAATCTTTATTCATACTCTGTCCATCCCCCACCAAAAAACCAAAAGCTTCTCAATTTTAGAACCATCTGGAGGAGAATCCTAGGTGGAGGATCCCACAACCTCACTAGTTAGATATTTTTTCTTGTGCTCCGTTTTAAGGCTACCCTATCACCATTTCCTTTTGTTTGACATGTAGGGGTTTATAGTGCATAGTTGTTCACTGCTATCTATTATCACTCTATATAATTGAGGTCTGTGCTAAAATTACTCTTAGGATCATATTCATGTCAAATATCTTCATGAGAGATTCCACTGCTAGCCCTTTCCTCAGTGGTCTTTCTTTCCCTCCCTCCCTCCCTTCCTTTTTAAAGCCCTTTCCCTCAGTGGTCTTCTTCCTTCCTTTCCTTTCCTTTCCTTTTTCCTTTCCTTTTCTTTCTTTCCTAAGATTTTATCTATTTATTTGACAGAGAGAGAGGGCACAAGCAGTGGGAGCGGCAGGTAAAGGGAGAGGGAGAAGCAGGCTCCCCGATGTGAGGCTCAATCCCAGAACCCTGGGATCATGACCTGAGCCGAAGGCAGGCACACTTAACCAACTGAGCCACCCAGGTGCCCTTCAGTTGTCTTCTTTATGAATTCTCCAAGTTCTACAAATCAGAGGTTGCTGTTTCATTGAACATCTATACACATAATCTTAAAAATTATGGTAGATAGGATTTTTAAGTGTTACATGAAAAAAATAGTTGAGATTAGAGAATATTTTAGTACTACTGAATTTATGTTTAGAAAATCATAGTTCATTTTCTTTGAGATTCTTTTTTTTTTTTTTTTTTTTACTTTGGACAGGGTAATAAACTTTTAACTCCCAAACCTTGGAGATATTTTGCTTGAATGGAAGCCATCGCTAAGCTAAGCTAACATTCAGCTAGTATTATGAACCAGTCTACTGGCCCCAAACCAAAGTTTTGTGAAAAGTAAAGATAAATGGCTTCTATTAGACATTATTATAAATAGATCTAGCTACTTTAAGACATTAAGTCAGACATGATCTCGAGTTGCAATTGTGCATTTGAGGGAGATAAATACTGGTATTGACACAAACTAGTGTATGGATGAAGTATTTAATCTTATTTGCAAAATGCAATACTCTTCACATTTAAGAATGGGTTAAGGCCAAATCTAGAACCTAATAACTCAATAAAATTTGCTAAACAAATTATTTTACCTTTCTGGTTTCCTCATCTGTGAAATGAGGGGATCTTTTTAGATAATTAGGATTTAACATTCTAATATAGCCTGCAAATTCATATAGGTTTAGGGTCTGAAGTAGATTAGATTGCCTGCAATTGGGAAATGTTATGGGTATTAAAAAGCTACCTAATTAGTTGTAAACTTTAATCAGATTCTTAGCATTTGAAGGATTCAGAGTATCCCTGACAATTATGTATGGAATGGATCACATGGTCTTAGGTCAGTGACAAATGGGGTTTCTTAATAGACCCATCCTCCTGGGTGTCATTAGGGATGGAGAAACTTCGTCCCCTTCAACAGTTCTCCTTTTATAACCTCAGGAAGAGTGAGCCAGATGCAGTGGAAGGGCTCAGTCAGGCTTTGCAGCCAGATAGACCAAGATTTGGTTTCTGACTCTATAAATGACCAGTAACTTGACTTTGGGCAGGTTAACCTCTGAACCTCATTTTCTCATTTTTAATAGTAGGTTTACTAACTACACAGGATTCTTGTGAGAATTAACCAAGACAAGGGTAAAGTATTGGCATATGTTAAGTGCTCAATAAATGGGTTTTCTTGCGTTTAGAGGAAACAGGGAAGAGTCATTTTCATTTGTTAAAATCCATGTTAACAGGAGTGTGTTTAGTGATGACTACAAACCCCTTGTTTCTTTATTCTTTTAATAGGTATTTGAATCTCTTACCTTGGGCAGGGTACTGTGCTAGAGTGGGAAAGTGATGCCCCTTAGGGCTGGGATTATATATTTTACAGGCAGCTACCTGGCTCTTGTTGCATTTGAGGTAGAAGTTGAAGCAGCTGAGATGACAACTCAAGAAAGACTGAACTTTCAGGGACAACAAACAACATCAGCTACTTGCTAGTTTACGGCCTACATTCACTGCAGGGACACTGTCAATGAGATAAAGAGGCAGGCTTGGAACAGCTGTTCAAAAGGACAAGGAGCCCTAAGTTCCACTGCCTCCCAAAGTCTCAAAAATGCCTGTGAAAATCTCTCTGGAGAAGCTACACCTACAAACCTGCTAGTGAGCCTTTAGCTCCTGCTTCATTATTCTAAGTTCTAAATGCAATGGGTGTAAGAAGTGAAATAGTTTTTTTATGGTACATTATACTGTGTCACATGAAATACAGCTGTTAAAGCGTTTTCCTGTTTCTTTTAAATCATTTTAGAAAACTGAAGGTATATATTGTTGTCATTCTGACATAACGTTGGCAGAAATACAAACCTTCCCATTATATATCATATATATCATTTTTTAAAACATGTATTTACTTACTTGAGAAAGAGAGCGAGAGAGCAAGCAAGTGGGGGTGGGGCAGAGAGAGGGGGAGAGAGAATCTCAAGCAGACTCCCTACTGAGTGCAGAACCCGACTTGGAGCTCAGTCTCATGGCTCTGAGGTCAGGGCCTAAGCCAAAATCAAGAGTTGGCTGCTTAACCAACTGAGCCACCCAGTCACCCCTCATTATTTTTATGGAGAAGAGTTATATGAAGCTCCTTTTCTGGAAAAATAACCCACGGTTAGTAAAAAGGTGACAAAAACACAGGTCAGAGGAGTGAAGAATTATATACATTATAACAGAAACAAAACATTTGTCCTTACAAGGACACTGACAGGGTGCCTGGGTGGCTCAGATGGTTAAGCATCTGCCTTCGGCTTAGATCATGATCCCGGGGTCCTGGAATCAAGTCCGCATCGGGCTCCCTGCAGCTTGGGGAGCCTGCTTCTCCCTCTGCCTCTCTCTGTCTCTCATGAATAAATAAAATCTTAAAAAAAAAAAAGACACTGACATTTCTAAAAAGTACTGAGATTCTTAAAAACAGTGGAAATTAGTAAGTTCTTATTATTTTACTTCAAGTTTTTAAATTCTAGTTGACACATATGGTAAAACTGGTTTTAGGTGCAGACTTGAGTAATTCATCACTTACATATAACACCCACTGCTCATCACAAGTATCCTCCTTTAATCCCCATTACCTATTTAGTCCATTCTCCATCCACATCCCTCCATCAACCCTGTTTGTTCTTTATATTAAGAGTCTCTTATGGTTTGCGTCCCTCTTTTCTTCCCTTCCCCATGTTAATGTTTTGTTTCTTAAATTCCACATATGAGTGAAATCATATGGTACTTGTCTTTCTGACTGACTTAACTTCGCTTAGCATAATACCCTCTAGTTCCATCCACGTCGTTGCAAATGGCAAGATTCCATTCTTTTTGATGGTTGAGTAATATTCCAGTGGATATATATGCCACATCTTCTTTATCCAGTCATCAGCTGATAGACATTTGGGCTCTTTCCATAATTTGGCTATTGTTGATAAGGCTGCTATAAACATTGGGGCGCATGTGCCCCTTCGAATCACTATGTTTGTATCATTTGGATAAATACCTAGTAGTGCAATTGCTGGGTTGTAGAGTAGCTCTGTTTTTTTAACTTGTCACAGAACCTCCATACTGTTTTCCAGAGTGGCTGCACCAGCTTGCATTCCCACCAGCAGTGTAAGAGGGTTCCCCTTTCTCCGCATCCTTGCCATCATCTGTTGTTTCCTGAGTTAATTTTAGCCATTCTGATAGGTGTGAGGTGGTAACTCACTGTGATTTTGATTTGTATTGTAAGTTCTTATTTTAACCAAGAAAAAAATGGGTAACAAATTTTTTAAATAATATATTGGTGATCTGCGCATTTTAGCTGGGGTAAGAAGGAAAGGATTCTCTGTCCCTGGGCCTCACCTATTTTCAGAGCTCTAGAAATAACTACATCTGTGGGAACAGACTCTACTCCTCCAGATGAGCAGTGACTTCTCTTGGAAGCTAAAATGAAAGTTCTTTTCCCTACTCCTACTTTGTGAGATACTACGTAAGTCACTTTCCTTAGTGGCTCTTAGTTTCCTCATCTCTACAATTGGGATGGATTACATTATATGAAGGTCTCTTCACTCTGAAGTTCCATGATGCAAAAATGATGGATGAGAAGACATTTTGGTAAAGAATAAAGCAAAAACACAGATGGTCAGTGGCACCAAGCTTGCCTGTCTATGGATCACTGTGGGAGGC